GGTACTTTCATTATTTGGAAGTTGGGAAGCAAATTAGGTCAGTAAGGAAAAATGCACTGGTGAAAGTGTGGGAGTAGCAAGAAGGATGGACCAGTAACCTAGGGTTGGTAACAGTGAAAGAAAATTATATCAGTCAAAAATCTCCCAAATTCAGTGGAATAAAGGGCTGACTGTGGGGAGACATAAGGGAGGCTCTGAGTGAGTAAGAAAACAGGTGCTGACATTATCATGAAGTGAGACAAAAAGGACCCAGGGAGGATGGGTATAAGCTTTCTGAGCACTTCTGGGACTCAGAAGTGTAACGACATGGAAGAACCTGGGCAAGTAGTGTCAAGTGCAGCTATTGCCAAGATAAATTGAGGCTCGAGAAGAATGATGAAGGCAGTTGGAACAAATGATGAATCCAGAAGGACTGGGCTATTGATTTGGAAATGATGATGCTCAGTGTAACTCCTCAATCCACAAATACTTGTGTTGATCACAGTTGCAGCATCCACCAGCTTTATTCCTAATGACACCATCTTCCTCCTTCCTTGTAGATTTCAGTGTCAGAGCTTTGAGAAATAGCTGGAGTGGTGAGGGGCAGAAGATCTAGAGCAGCTTGTTCCCCTCACCCCCCCCTCCACTTACTGAGCTGCTGGAGTACAGGGGTGGCCCTGGGGTCTTGCCTTTCCCTGGAGAAGGTGGAATCAGCTATGCCAGGCCAACTTTGACTCATGGTGACCCCACAAGTGTCAGGGTAGAGCTGGTGCTTGAGTTCTGTAGGGTTCTCAATGGATACTATTTCAGAACTAAGTCACCAAGCTTTTCTTCTGAGTTGCTTCTGGGTGGAGTCAAACTATCAACCTTCCAGTTAGCAGCTGAACGTGTTAACTGAACCACTCAAGGAGTCTTCTACACAAAAGGGCATGCCTTTGATTCTCCCTGGCCCCCAGTGATCTCAGGCTTGACCCAGAGGGTCTAAATCCTCCTTGGAAGGATTTCCTTTGGGCAGAACTCTGGGCAAGGGTAGCACTTGGGCACATGGCTGGTCCAGGGGCATGGACACTGCTCTGGAGTAGTATTTGCAAGCCAGGCTGCACCACAATCTTCTGTGAGCTTTAAAATCCACAGCTGTGCATTTCTTGCACTTGGTTAGTCTGATCACATGAATGTGGAGTAAAGCAAGGAAGAACCCAGGTGACTAATCCCGCACAGGGCTAGGACTCCTCCTCTGGGGGTGGGATCATTAGGAGGATCATCACTGGCATCAGATGCCTGCGGGCAGATGGATGTTTTAATTCAGACGGCCTCTGATTCTCTCTGTCCCTGTCAAGGCATTTTGCGTAGGGCTCGGGGTGTGGATGAGCTCTGTGTCTGTGCTGGTGATGGGGATCAGACTACTCTCTGCTCACCCAGTCTGCATATCTGAAAGCTGTGGAAGGTCCACACAAGACACCTTCACTGGAACACCGGGGTTCAAATATTTCTTATATGTATAGAATTTGGGCTTTTCCAGAGAGCTCATCTTTTATATGCAAACGTGTCACTCATGTTTAGACAGTGGATACAAGATATTGAATAGTAGAACTCAAATGTATCAGAAGTCTCAGAGTTATAGTTGACACAAAATCCAGTGAGGCTCCTCTGACATCTGAATCCATCACTGTCTCAGTTTCTAAAGTGCACCTCCAGGGATGGGGATCTTGGTAGTCCCCAAAGTCATTCAACATTCATTTCACAGAGCTCTAATCATTGGAGATATCCTTGTCACACTGAGTCTACATTAGTTCCCTGCAAGTCCCCTTGCACAAGAGTCACACAGAATATGAAGACATTCAGGCATCCCTTGTTGTTGTTATTGTTAAGTGCCGTTGGATCGGTTCCAACTTACAGCAACCTTGTATAGGGTTTCCAAGAAGTGGCTGGTGAGCTTGAACTGAGGACCCTGACCTTGCAGACATTCCCAAGTCTACTAAACTCTATGCTAACACTTCTCAAAGCTTTATTTGCAGACAAGCCACCCAGATACCTTGAGGGAATGAGGTTTGGGATTCTGGATTTCTCACAAGTCCTAGGTGATGTGGAGACCATGCTCAGTGGGGAGTTAGGTAAATCCTCCAAGAGGTCAGTGAGAGCCAAGTTCCCAGCTTGGCTCTTTATCTACTGGCCATGTGACTAGGAAGGGACTGAACTTCCCAGTGTCCTTGTTTCCCTTTGGGAAATGGAGGTTAACAGGTGCACTGCTCTCCTAGAGAGCAGGGTTCAGAGCTTCTCACACAGGGTTGGCGCATAGTTGCAATTCCACAATGACAACTCTTGGTTGCTTACAGCTGAACAGCTCCAGAAACTTTGCCATTTCCTTGAATTGCTCCACATGTATGTTACTCCCCTCAGGAGGGGCTATGATTCACAGTGAAGAGCCATGCACTGAAGAGAAGATGTGGGTGTGGTCTTTACGTATGATTTTCACAGGCAATATATTTGCACAGTTCTCACCACTATCCCATTCAATACAGTGGTAGAAATAGTGGTGTTTATGGGCAACTCAGATGAATGAAATTTCAATCAATGAGGATCTATCCTGGGGGACCGCACTGGCTTAGTTCTTGTGATGATGAGAAATACTAATAAATAATTAGCTACACACATTTTTTATATGGCAAAATGAATCTATCAGTTTTGCTTGGTAGCCAGAATAAAAGCATGAATAAAAGTATACTGGGGAAATTCTGGTTTCATTGTAAGTGATGTGCTGTCTTTTGCTTGCTGCCAGGGCCAGACACCATCTCCCACAGGAAGCCTGCCTCTTCTCCCTCAAAGCATCCTATTAAATTACTTACCATATAGGATTGTACTTGTTTTTCTTCTCCGCTAGATTTAACTCCTTGAGGGTTGAGATCCGATCTTATTATCTCGATATTTTCAACTCCTTTCACCCCCTGAAGTGCCTGGCACAGAGCAGGAACTGCCAATGTTTGGGGGGGGGGCGGAGAGGAAGGAGGGGACATTGAAAGGGGAAGAAGCAAATAGGGAGGGAGGGGTGAGAGGGAAAATGAAGGCGAGCGGAGGGAGGGAGAAGGCATATGTAATCAGCCCTATCGAAAGACAGAAGGAGGAGAAAGTCATTGGGAAAGTGAGTTGGTTTTCCTGGGGTAGTGATTTTGTACTCTGCAGGGACACAGAGCACTTGATGTTGTGTGATCTAAGTTCTCAAGCTCACTTTCTGGGGAGCCAGGTGTCCACAGAATGCTTGCTCTCTGCTGGGAGCAGATGTTAAATGCCTTGCTTTCAAATATCCATCTTTTTGTTCCTAGCTTTGTGTATGTTGCTCTGTGTCGGCAAAAAAAGAGGAAGCTCCCCAATGAGATGGATTGGCACCATGGCAGCAGCAATGGGCTCAAGCATAGCAATACTGGGAAGGATGGGACAGGACTGGGCAGGGCTGTGTTCTGTTTACATAGACTTGCTGGGAGTCAGAACCGGCTTATAATAACAACATGTTGCTTCTACTCCAGAATTCAGGCAAAAGAAACATAAAGTCAGTAATGGGCTATTTTTCCTTGTGGGGAATAGCTACTTTTAACCGAGTTTTACTAGGAGGAGGGAACATCTAGCCTGAAGGTTGTATAAGTCCATGAAATCATTTGGTCTGGTCCTGCCAAGGCAACTGCAGGTGGGACTTGAAATTCAACAAATCTCAGAGCTTTTTCATGGCAACATAAATTTATATTAAATGATGTTCTAAATATCCAAATGGCCCTTGGCAGAAAAAAGGTTCCTCACCCCTGTGTTAGGCAACACTTTTTCTGGGGTTTGCCTCAACTCCTCACTAATCATTCTGGCTGGCTCTCTAGGGATAGCCAAACCTGATGGCATTGATGCTGTGAATTCAGGTAGCATTAAGGACCTGAGACTCAGACAAATGACTGTTTTGTTTTGTTGTGAGGCTAGGGCACCGTGCTGGTCACAAGTTAGGGGCAGTTTTCTTCGGCTGCATAGGAAGGCATCAGGCTGACTTCTTACCCTGGGCCTGAGATGAGGGTTGGGTGACTTTGTTTTTGCATCCCTGGCCCTATCAGAGAAGGCATCAACAGGGTGAAAGAGATGAGGAGGGTATGCTGGGCTGGGAGGGAGCCAAGCTGACCCCAAATTCAGTACAGTGCTCAGGCATGGAGGACCCCATGCCCCATATGGCAGGGACACAGGTCTGGAGTCCACATGGTCCTTAAACCACTAGCTGGGCAGATCTGCTGTACCCATAGAAGGAAGACAGGAGTTGGAGAGAGAAACATACCTGCAAACTGTTTCACATTTTTAAAGGCAGCCTTTTCTTTATCAGAAAATAGCTTTCAGAAGCAAGGTACATCCTGTGAAGAAAACCTATCCTATTCAAACATTTCAACAAGATGTTCCATTGTCTTAGGTTAGTCCCTGAGCCAGTTTTGCCTAGATGCAGTGGACACTGAGTAGTGGTGGTTCTGCGTTGGGATGAAGTCGCCTTGTCTGTGCTGGCATTGTGTGTTTACAGCTCAGCCTCTGTCTCAGTGTAGTCTGCTTGCCTGGGTGGCTCCTCCAACACAGCTCTTTATAAGCATTCTAGCTACTGTGTCCACAGAACCCTGACCCAGAGAAGGGGTTGGATGGTTCAGGGGATGGGCAAGGAAGGAAGGAAGGATAGCAAGGTGAAGAGTGGGAGGGATTTGGGAAGAGGAACCAAGGGATGCTAACAGTGCCCCTCAGAGGACCTGCTCTTTAGCAGAGGTTTGCCTGAGGGGAGTTTGTGGTGGGTTTTCTCAGAATCTCCCACACCATTTTGGACTTTGAGGGATCTCAAATGGCTAAGTATGTGGAGCTGTCTATGTGTGCATGTAGGCATGTTTGTGCATGTGTGTACATAACGTGTGTCTGAGTATAGGTGTGTGTGTGCAAGAGACAGAAAGAGTGATTGTTCTGGGGAGGCGGGTAAGTAAGCTTTTCTGGGTTTATTTGGAGGGTGGAGGGTTAGTCTGCCTTAATTTTCAAGAAAAGTCTTCAGTGACAAAATCCTCTAAGTCATTGATGGCGATGATCTCTAGGCTTGGAGCTTCTCTGCCTTCCTCTTGTGAGCTCTGGGGAGGCCCTTTGGGGTACTGGCCGGGTATATTCTGGGTGGAGTCCCGGGAGGCCTGAGAGACACACTGCAGTTCAGCCTTGTGGGGGTCCTTGTGCCCAACAGTGGCCACCTTGGTGACGGGAGGGCTTGACAACAGGAAGGTGGGAGTAGAGAGCTGGGAGGCACACCGCAGAGGTGTCAAGGCTGTCACAGGCAGGGGCTGGAAGCCAGCCAACAGCAGGGGATGGTCATCCAGTGCCTCTGCTGCCAGAGGGGGCTCTGGGGAGCCCCCTGCTGAGGATGGGATAGGGACCTTGAAATACTGGCCTGTCTCTGGTTCATAGAAGGTCTTAATTTTCACCTGAAGTGGCAAGTCAAAGACATAGTATTCCCCAGACTGGGGATCTTGGAGGACCTTCTGTGTGGCAGGGCATGGAAGCAGGGGCTTGGCCAGCGGAGGTTCCCTGGGCCACATCATGCTGTGCTCTGAGAAGCTGGATACAGAGTGGCGGTGTGTGGAAGGCGGCAGGGACCGGACTGCAGGGAAACTGGGTTGCCAAGGCATCTCTTCCGGGGACAGTGCCCTGTGCCCGGCCCTCTTTATATCCTTGGACCAGGTTCGCTCCTCCCAGGACTCAGTAGGTCTCTCTTGTCCCTGATCAGTCTTTTTCTTTTTGTTGGCCAGCTTCTTCGCCCGTCGAAGGGCCTTCTCACTTTTGGGTGGGACGGCAGGTGGCTTGCCTACAGACCTCTCTGGCTGCACAGGTGGTCCCAGCTTCTCTGGAAGACCTGCTGAGCTGCTGGTCATGTCCACAAGGGAACCTCTGGGAGATAAAGACCTGAGGTCTAATGCCATTGTCTCAAGTTGGGGGTCAGAGGCCTCCTCCCATAACAAGGCGTGGGTCACATCTTCCCTCTGGATGCCTGGTGCAGGGCAGAGGCGAGCCCTGGGGCTGGTTCTGGGCAGGTCCTCTTGAGGCAGCATACTCAGCTCACTGGGGACGCTGCTGCTGGTGGGAGAATACATGCTCTCTCCCTCTAGGGAACTGGCGTTGGGAGAAGTCACCATCTCACCGGGGATCAGTCTTTTCCTTAGGGCCCCTGCTCTGGGTGTGGACAAAAAGGTACTTTTGAAACCTCCTGTTGGCTCTTCCCAACACATCCCCAGTAAGTGTGGGCTTGTCTTGTCTTCTGTGTCATCTTCTGGGAAAGTGATTCGTGGCATGCACCTTGGAGCATTCAACCTCACCTGGTCTGTGGAGCTCCTCCTGCCATTGTTCCCCACAACTTTAGGGGCCACACCTGGGGATGGCCTCATTCTATCACCATCTCCCACCAGTGGAGGAGATGGGAGAGCCCCCTTTACAGATGACTGCAAGGCTCCTGTCTTGGCTGTGCTGGCTACCTGCAGGAGGTCTTCTGGACCCTGGTGGGCTTTATGCTTCCAGGGTGAGTCCTGCATGTTAGTGGGCAGTGGGTGGTCAGGTGCTGGGGTGCTGGGCATTCCTTGGCTCTCTGGAGCACAGACACCAGGATCCTTAGCTAGCCTTGGGGATTCCGCTTCTTTCCGGCCACCACTGGTGGGATCCTCTGATGATAGAGTCCTCAGGAGGGGCAGTGTGATGGGCTTGATTACAGGAGTCGTCCTGAGGGTGTTGTCTTTAATCAAAAATAGCGAATGCTTGTTCAAAGTGGAAGACGGTGCCTCTGTGAACTCTTTGGTATGTGAAAGGGCCATAGCCTTAGTTCCTCCAACACAAGAGCCTCTGAAATTTGCTTCTGTTGATACCTTCCTTGGTCTTCCTTCAGACAAACTCTCACCATCTTTTTCCAACCTTTCCCCCTTGCTGTTCTCATCTGTACACACATGCCCATTACTTAAGGGCATCTGCTGCCTGTCTTTTCCCAACATTCTCTCCTTCTCATCCCTCTGACTGTCACTTACACTCATATCATTCTTCCTGTTTGTCTGTTGACTCTCGGCACACAACATCTTCTGTTGATCTTCGAATGAGGCAAAGGATTGATCTGAAGAACTGGTGCTTAATTTAGTCTTGCTTTGGAGACCTGGCATAAAATCAGACTGGCTGTCACTATAAAATACATCTTCCTCCTCAGGAGAAAGGGGCCCTGGAGAGGGCTTCTGGTAGGAGTCTGGGTTCTGCAGACCTGCCTCTGTATCAGGCTCTGAGTCTTGGGAGACTGATCTAGAAAACCCATTCTGTAGCTGGTGGGCCTGCGGCATCTCAGCAGCTTTCAAAGCCTCGGGCTCTTGGCTAGAGAGCTTCAGTGAGAATTGCCTCCTGAGGATGTGCTTGTTGGAGTCCAGGCCCCAGCCTGGCTTGGTGGGATTCAGCTTTGCCTCTCCATAGGCATTGTCCTCCTCATAGCTGCCTGTCTCCACAGTCTCCCCATTGACACAAAAGGGGGCTTTGGTGCTAGCTGGAGCTGAGCTAAGAGTTCCAAACATGTCTGCAGATGAACCACTAGGTTCTGCTCTAGGATTGTCCTCAACTGTCCTGACAGGGAGGATGACTCCATTGCTAACAATCTCTTGCTTGTCTTCGACCTTATCTCTGGGCTTTTCATCAAGGCCTTTCAAGAGAGGATTGGGACTATAGATGTTTTTCACATGCTTACGAACATCTTTGAGATTGAAGAGCAGGTTAGGGGCTTTGGATTTGTAATTGTCCCAGGACTGGCCCTCACCTGGCTCCTTCTCTTGGTATCCATTGGGCTGTCCTGGGGGTGATGGAATCTTCTCTGTTGGCTGGCTGTTCAACGAGTCCAGGACATGCTTGGTGGGTAGAATGGGTGTCAGAAGCTCACTGATGTTAAAAGGAGGAGTGTAGCGCTCATTGGGGTCTACAGGTAGGTCAGGAGCTTCAGCTTCAGGAAACTGTCCTTCGAGTGTCTGCTTTACATACAAAGGGGGTGCCCTCTTGTAGGGCTGTTTTGTTTCTTCTGAAGCATCTTGTAGACTTTCTTTGCCTGTCTTGCTGGCCTTCGGTTTTCTCCATGGAGCCTGGATTGATTTCAGTGGAGGGTCAGGCTGGGAGCTAGAGGCTTTCCTCTCCATTGTGAACACCTGGGTCCCAGGGTCCCTTGAGTCCCAGGGTCCAGATGTGGAGAGAGTCCCAGTGTGCTGCTGGCTCTCTTCCTGACTAAAGCCTGGCAGCATTTGGCTGGGGGAGACTTTGTGTTCAGGCAGATGGGGTTCTCTTAGCAGGGGCACCTCCTGGAAATGTTTGGGCCCTTTGCTTTCTGGGACCTCAGTAGGGTCTTTTCTCTGTAGTAGCCGTGGCTGGAGGGTATCCCACGACTCAAAAGCACTGTTTTCACTGTGAAGGAAGGTCCCTTTGGGAACCCACTCTTTGCCTTTCCCAGGCTCCCCTTTGACTGTCTTGTGGGCTGGGGAATGGAACCTGGACTCTGAGGAGCTAGAGACATTGGGGGTTGGGAGGAAGGTGCTGGAGCTGTGACAGGACATTTCAGGGTTCTTTGGGGATTCCTGCTCCTGGTGCTTCCTGCCAGGCTGATGGCCACTCTGGTGAGTGCTGGAGACTTCAGCGGGCACCCTCCTGACAGTCAGAAAAGCGGAATCGAAGCAGAAGTTGACACCGCTTTCTGGAAGAGGAGCAAACTTGGGAGCAATTTTCAGAGTGGAAGGCTTACTTGGGGGAGGCCTAATGTCACTATGCTGGCTCTCTGGCCTGTCAAAGGACTTAATTAGGGATGATACTTTGGAAAGAGGCTTGCTGCTGCTTCTCAGGCCAGAAAGTGGCACCTCCAGCTTCCTCTGGACTGGCGTTAGTGGGGGGCTGCCTTTGGGGTACTTCTCCTCTCCTTGCACATACTTGGGTAGCTGCTGAAGTGTGGCTGCCCAGCCGGCATGCTCCCCACCCTGCGAGGGTAACTGGCTCCAGATGCCACTCTTCCTCTGGGTGTGACTCACAGTGCCCTGGTGGAGGCTCCCCAACACCTGGCAAGTGAAGTCTGGGGATTCACTGAAGGCCGTGTCCTCAGAAATGCACAGGCTGCGGAAGGCACGATCTGTGAGGCTGCTCACCTCACGGTCTGCATCGTCCAGCAGGCTGCCAATGCTGGATGAGTCACTGAGGCCATCCATGCCCTTCTTGTTGCCTTGCATGGTCTGCTGCACAGGAAGGCACCAGCCAGCCGTACTTCTGTAGGTGTGGGGGTAGCCCTCTTCCTTCAGAACCAGATCTCCCGGTCAGTCAGATGCAGTTTGCCAAGTGAGAATTTTTTTCTCTGCAGAAGAAATAAGTACAGGGCATGAACATGGCCTACCACCCATCTGTCCATTTGTTGTACTGTGGTGGTTTACATATTGGTGGGTATGATGCTGGATACTATGTCACCAATATTTCAAACATCAGCAGGGTCACTCATGTTGGACAGGTTTCAGTGGAGCTGCTAGAGTAAAACCGACTAGGAAGAAAGGCCTGGAAATCTATTTCTGAAACTCAGCCACTGAAAATTCACCCCGTGAATCACAACAGAGTAGTGTGTGACATAGTACCAGAAAATGGAGCACCGTAAAGTTGGAAGTCCCTCTCTGACCATTCTATGTGATGGTCCCTTTCCCAGTGCTCACACCTAGAACCTTGTCTGTCTGCTTCAAGGCACTGAGTGAGCACAGTCTAAAATTAAATGACCTCTTTGTTGCCTGTCCCCTCATTATAATACATTCCAGGACTTAGGGGTAACTTTCATTGCTATTTTCTCATTGTCCCTCACCCCAGACCCACCCAGGGAAGTGACAGTGTCTCTGGATTCCTGTGGGGTTTGACCAGAGGGAGGCACAATGGCTATTAAAGGCGGTGTGGGGATACAATGGTACTTCTCTTCACGCTCCTCCTTGCTGTGGTGTGGGCCCTGGCACGGCCACAACGCTGTGTGATGATGCCCCTTCCCTGGACATCAGCTCTTCCTGGACAGTAATGAGATCTCCTTTGCCTCTAGAGGACCCCCACTCTTCTTGAAGGGCCTCATGCATTTATGGGTCTCCCTAGTTCTGTCTCAACCTCTATTATTGTCCCTTCATTCCATTCCTTTCCAAATCCTGTCTGTGTATTCTTCTTCCTGCTGGGACCTGTGACCCTGCCAATATCCAACACAGTACATGGATTAAATTACTTTTCATCCCTGTAGCCGTGGATAGACTCCTCTTCGTAAATAGGAATTTTGTTAGTTATGTTAATGAGTTGAACCAATGAGGGTGGGTTCTAAATCCAATCATTTCTGAGTGATAAAAAGAGGAGATTACTCAGCAAGAAAATTATTGGAATTCATTGAAGGATTTGGCAAAGTGGCAGGATATAAGATCGATCATCAAAAATCAGTTAAAAAACAAAAAATCAGTTGGACTCACATCACATATAAAAACAAACTCAACATGAATTGAAGACTTAAACGTAAAAAGTAGAACTATAAATATCATCCATGGAAAACTAGGGACAAACTTACGGGCTCTAATACATGGCATGCATACACTATCAAACATTACAAAGAATGCATTATCAGTAAAAGACAAAATAAATGACTTGGATCTCCTAAAAATTAGAAATGTCTGTGTATCAAAAGATTTCACTAAAAGAGTAAAAAGGGAGTCCACAGACTGTGAAATGTTTTTTTTTTTTTTGCAATGACATATCAGACAAGGGACTAATATCTAAAATTTGTAGAAAACTACAACATCTCTACAAGAAAAAGACCAACAACCCAAATAAAACATGGGCACAGGACATGACAGATACTTCACCAGACAGTCAACAAAATTTCACAATGATTAGCCATTAAAGAGATAAGATTTTCACAATGATTAGCCATTAACAACAATGAGATATCATCTCACACCAGCATTAACAGCAAAGTTCAAAAAAACAGAAAGCAACAAATGCTGGTGAGGGTGTGGAGAGACTGGGACCCTCCTATGTTGCTGGTGGACTGTAAAATGGTTCAACCACTCGAGAATGGGATGTTGATTCCTCAGAAAATTGGAAATAGAAATACCTTATGACCCAGCACTCCCTCTACTTGATATATATCTGTAAGAATTAAGAGCCAGGACATGAGTGGTTCACTGCAGCACTATTCACAATAGCAAAAAAATGGAGACAGCCTAAGTGCTCATGAATGGAACAATGGATAAACAAACTTTGGTACATACACACAAGAGAATACTATGCAACACTGAAGAATAACAATGAATCTGCAAAACACCTCATAACTTGGATGAACCTAGAGGACATTATGCTGAGTGAAATTGGTCAATCACAAATAGACAAATATTGTCTGAGACTGTTATTGTAAAAGCTTAAGAAAAGGTTTCTGGACTAAAAGAAATATTTATTTGATGGTTACCAAGGGTGTGGGGGAAGCTAGTGGGTAAACACATGTTAGCTGGGTAATGGGGAAGGCAATACATAGGAAGGGGGAAGGTAATATGCAAGAAGAGGGATAGTGGCAGAAGAATAATGAAGATAGTTGAAGATACAGGGACACATGCATGGGCTTAAGGGGGATAGATGTGACTAGTGATAGATATTCATCCCTGGAACAATGGTGTTCTGGGCATAGATACATGGATTAAGACATAGGCTGAGTGAGTAAGGGACGAAGAGTGAGACAAACATATTTTTATATCCTGCAAATATATAAACATTTGAAAGAGAAAAATGAAACACTCTTTGATGGTTGCCAGGGATAGGAGGGAAGGGAAAGTAACATGTATCTAGAGGGTTGTTGTTAAGTTGTTAAGTGCCATTGAGTCAATTCCGACCCACAGTGACTCTGTATAGGGTTTCCAAGGAGAAGCTGGTGAGTTTGAACCACCGAACTTGCAGTTCAAATGACTTTGCAGTCTGATGCATTAGCCCACAGCGCCACACCAGTGCCACATTAACGTGTGTCTAGAGGGTTGTGGTCTAGAGGGTAGATACATGTTAATGTGGGTGATGGAGAGGACAACAAACAAGACAGGAAAGAAGGAGGTTGGCAGAAGTACCATGGACAGGTGCAGACACAGTGGGGTAAATAGTGTCTTCACAGATAGAGGTAAACAGTGAAAAAAGAGAGAGCAGATTCGACACAAATACACGTGGGAAGGCAGATGCCTTGTGAGAAGAAATCAGTGTGACTAAGACCCTGATTAGAACTCAGCCTCTAGAATTGTGAGAAAATCCCTCTTCTTTCAAGTTGCCACTGTCTCTGTTGCAGCAGCAGTAGGAAACTAAGAGTAGACCTGGGTTAGGCGATACATGACTGAGTTCTTGGGAAGATGCACCAAACATCAAATTCACGTTCTGCAAGGTGTGCGACAGGGTTGTATTTTTTCACCATACTTATTCAACCTGTATGCTGAGCAAATAATCCGAGAAGCTGGGTTCTATAAAGAAAAATGTAGCATCAGGATTGGAGGAAGACTCATTAGTAGCCTGTGATATACAGATGATACAACCTTGCTTGCTGAAAGTGAAGAGGACTTAAAATACTTACTGATGAAAATCAAAGAGCACAGCCTTTGGTATGGATTGCATCTTAATGTAAAGAAAGCAAAAATCCTCACCCCTGGACCAGTAAACATCATTCTTATCAATGGAGAAAAGATTGAAGTTGTCAAAGACTACATTTTTCTTGAATCAACCATCAACCCTTTGTGGAAGCAGCAGTCAAGAAATCAAACGACTTAAAGCATTAGGCAAATTTGCGCACAAGACCTTTTCAAAGTGTTGAAGAGCAAACATGTCAATTTGAGGACTAAGGTGTGCCTGACCCAAGCCATGGTATTTTCAATAACCTTATTTGCATGCGAAAGTTGAACAGTGAATAACGGATACCATAGAAGAATTGATGCATTTGAGTTATGGCATTGGAGGAGAATATTGAAAGTGCCATGGGCTGCCAAAAGAACAAACAGATCTGTGTTGGAAGTAGTGTAGCCAGAATGCTCCTTAGAGGACAGGATGGCCAGACTTCATCCCTCATACTTAGGACATATTGTCAGGAGGGATCAGTCCTTGGAGAAGGATATCATGTTTGGTAAGGTGGAGGGTCAGAGAAAAACAGGAAGCCCGCCCCCCCCCCCCCACCCCAGTGAGATGGATTGGCAAAGTGGCAGCATCAATGGGCTTGAGCGTGGCAACAATTGTGAGGTTGGCCCAGGATCGGGCAGTGTTTCGTTCTGTTGTACACAGGGTTGCTATGAGTTGGTACCAACTAGATGGCACCTAACAAGTGGTCCCACTAGGAACAGCTGACAGGTTGAAACTTGGTTACAAAGTAGTCCCACTTTGCAGGGGCAGGGGCTGTCCTGGTGTCAACCCCCCCCCGCCCCTTCCCTGCTTGGCTGCACTAAGAATAAGGCTGACAGTGGTTTGGGGGCACATGGTCAAAGTGCTTGCTGCACATCAGGGAGATTGAGCTGCTCAGGAGTCCTTGGTGCCCTGCTCCACTACTACTTGCGGAGGGGTCATAGGTTTGTCTCACTCGCTTTCTTAGTTTCCTATTGCTGGTATAATAGAAATACTGCAAGAAGGCCAGGAGCGGAGGCCCCTGGGACCATTAAGGGAGAAGAGCGGAGTGCGGGACCCTACCCAGAGAAACAGTGATGCCAGAGATGGAGGCAGAGAGGATGACATGGAGAGATGGAGTGGCTGGGAACTCTAGACCCAGAGAGGGAGAGGGGCTGTGTGCTGATGACTGAGGGGCAGGCTTGCAGGGTGTACCCTTTGGTTGGTTGATGATGCATGGAGGGGTCTGTAACCATGGCAATGTAATTATATACGATAGAATGAATGTAAAACTAATGTTCTCCTATGTAAACTATCACATAATTCACAATAAAACAGTTAAAAAAAGAAAAAAAGAAATACTGCAAGAGAGTGGCTTTAACAAACAGAAATGTATTTTCTCAATTAGGAGACTAGAAGTATGAATCTGAGCACAGGGTTTAGAAGAAAGCTCTCTCTATGTCACCTGGGAAGAGGGGGAATCTCTCTGTTTCTGTACACTTGGTATTCCTTGATTCCTTGGCACTCTACACATGCCTACAACTATTTTCCTAGTCCTATCTTTTGTAGACCTGATGTGACACTATTGAATAAGCACTGGACTGCCAATTGCAGT